ATGATTTATAGCTTAGTTTGGGGAAATTATCTCGTTGGTTTCTGCGTTAAAATACTGAATTCAGCCGTTGTGATCGGATTCTATTATGGATTTCTGACTACATTCTCCATAGGACCGTCTTATCTCTTCCTTCTTCGAGGGCAAATCTTAGGAAAGGGATCTGAAACGAAAATATCAGCAACAACCGGGTTTATTACGGGACAGCTCATGATGTTTATATCGATCTATTATGCGCCTTTGCATTTGGCATTGAGTAGACCTCATACAATAACAGTCTTAACTCTACCGTATCTTTTCTTTAATTTTGTCCACAAAAATGACAAACACTACTATTTGGGTTCGGGATCCAAACTGGATTCTGAATACAAGAATCCAAATTCAATACGTCATTTTAGGATTGTTAAAGTATTCTTTAACAATCTTTTTTTTCAGTTATTAAACCCCTTTCTTTTGCCAAGTTCAATCTTAATAAGATTAATGAACATTTATCTGTTTCGATCCAACAATAAATTGTTATTCTTAACAAGTAGTTTTGTTGGGTGGTTAATAGGTCACATCTTTTTAATGAAATGTATTGGATTGGTATTAGTCTGGTTACAGCACAAAAAGTCGATCAAATATAAGATAACTATGAAATTTGATAAATACATTCTCCTACAATTGCGAAATTATGTGGGGCAAATATTTGTTGTTTTTTCATTTGTTAGCTTTGCACACTATTTAGGCAGAACACCGCTCCCATATTATTATATTGAGGAAATGATGCGATACGATGACAGGGACCTGGAGGAAGTCAAAGCTGCAATAGATTGGGAAAAGGAAGAAACTAACGAAGAAGAAGAAGATATTACTGTTTATCTTTCTGATAAAAAAGAGAATACTTTCAACAAAAAACTCGCCCCGTTGGAAAAATCTCTTGTAACTACTCTTTTCGATTATCGAAAATGGAATAGGCCTTTGCGATATATAAAAAATGATCACTTTGAAAGGGTTGTAAGAGATGAAAATTCACAATTTTTTTTTCAGGTATGTCAAAGTGATGGAAAAAAACGAATATCTTTCACGTATCCACCTCATTTATCTACTTTTCTGAAAATCATGGAAAAAAAAATGGATCTCTTCAGAAGAGATAAAACCTCCTATAATGATAATGAATTGTCTAATTATTGGAGCTCTGTTAATAAAGAAAAAGGAAATAAACTAATCAATGAATTTTTTCAAAGGGCAAAAATGATAGATAATAAATCTATTAAATTTAGTCCTGTGGATGTATTTGAAAATCGAATTAGATTGTCTGATGATAATAGGAAAACAAAATACTTAACTAAAATATATGATCCTTTCTTGAATGGACGCGTTCGTGGAGAAATCCAAAAAGGCTTTTCACCCTTCATTCCAAATGAAACTGACACAACAAACTACATTTTGATAAATAAGATTCATGGTCTCCTTCTTTCTATTAATAGTAATGATCCAGAATTTGAACAGAAAATAGATCAATTTGATAGAAAATTATTATTAAATGAAATTGGTTTTTTTTTTAACTTAATCAGTAAATTTTCGGAAAAATCAGTATCAAGTTTGAATTTTGACGGACTTTATTTATTTCCAGAACATGAACAAGTAAAAATATATTCCGAAGAAAAAAAAACAAAAAGAAAATTATTATTGGACGCAATTCGAACTGATCCTACTAATAATACAATTTTTAATAGAAAACTATGTAGTGAAATAAACGAAATAAGTAAAGAAGTTCCTCGATGGTCATACGACTTAGTCGACGAATTGGCGGTATTGATGGACGCGAGTCCAAAGGAGTCTCAGATTCGTTCCCCAAAAGCTGACCGTATAGTTCTTTTTAATAGTAAAACAGATTCTAATGACAATCAGAATAGTGCTGAACCGGACAGAAATACTGAATTTGCTGTAGTTCATTATTCACGCGAACCAGATTATTGCCGAGACCTAATCAGAGGATCTATGCGCCCTCAAAGGCGTAAAACAGTAACTTATAAACTCTTTCAAGGAACTGCACACTCCCCTCTTTTTTTGGAGATAATGGGCGACTACGCGTTCTTGTTTGGTGATCTTGTCTATGATATCTCCCAATATTTGAAAGAATATTTCAGGAAACCGGGTACTGATAATTCGGAATTTTTGGCGTTTGAGAAAACGATAGAACAGAAAGAGATAGAGGAAAACAAAGACGAGTCTGAAATAAGACTTAGACAAATCGAAGAAGCCTGGGAGAGCATTCTCTATGGTCTAATAATCAGAAGTTTTGTATTACTATTCCAATCAATATTTAGAAAATATATTCTATTACCTTCATTGATAATCACAAAAAATATCATTCGTATACTATTATTTCAAAATCCTGAATGGTCAGAAGATTTGAGGGATTGGAGAAAAGAAGTCCATATTTACTGCACCTATCAGGGCGTTCCAGTATCTCACACCGCGTTGCCAACAAACTGGTTCTGGGAGGGTATTCAGATAAGGATCTTATTCCCTTTTGTTCTGAAACCGTGGCACAATAAGGTACGATCTACTGAAAAAAAAAAAAAATCTACTGAAAAAAAAAAAGATCCACTGAAAGAAAAAAACTTATGGTTTTTAACAGGTTATGGAACACAAGTCGAATCGTACCTTGATGATCATGTCCCAAACCCTTTTTTATTTTTGGGTCCCATTTTAAAAAAAATAAAAAAACAATTGAAAAAAGATTTGAAAAATCGTTTTTTTCTAGTTCTAAAAGTTTTTAATGAAAGAAAAAAGGGGTCTCGAATCGTGTTAGAAGAAATCGAAAATAGGTTCAAAAAAAGAGATGAATTGAGTGAAAGCAAAAAAAATTCAACAATCAGTAAGAGTAATCCAATGATTGAGGAATCGCCCGTTCTAATTCAATCTATGAATTGGACAAATTTCACAGAAAAAAGGATAAAAGATCTTAATGTTAAAACAAAGACAATCTTAAAACAACTAGAAAAAATGACAGAAGAAAAAAAAGAGGGGGTTATAACTTTAGAGATTAATTTGAATTCTACCAAAACTACTTATGATGCTAAAAGATTAGAATTACTAAAAAATAGTTTGAAAATATTAAAAAGAAGAACCGTTCGATTAATCCGTAAATCCTATTTTTTTTTTCAAATTTTAATGGGAAGGATATACATAGAGATCGTTTTCTCTATCACTCGTATTATTATGATGTCTGGACAACGTTTTCTTAATATTATTGAATTAACAGACAAAATTGTAAATGTATTTATTTCCATTTACACTAAAAAAAAAAATGAACAAAGAGTTCATAAAACAAATGAAAGTATAATTCCATTTATGTCGATTATAGACAAATCTTGGAATATTACAGATATGAATTCACAGAATTCTTGTGATGTATCTTCTTTGTCACAAGCCTATGTATTTTTTAAATTATCACAAGTTAGTAATGGATATAAATATAAGTTAAGATCTATTTTTGAATCTCATGGAAGATCTTTGTTTCTTAAGAATGAAATAAAAGATTATTTTTTTAGAATACAAGGAGGAAGATTAAATTCCAAATTAAGACATAAGAACCGTCCCGATTCTATAATGAATCAATGGATAAATTGGTTAAAGGTTCATTATCAATATGCTTTACCTCAGAGCGGATGGTCAAAATTAGTACCACAAAAGTGGAGGAAGAGAATCCATGAACATCGCGTGGCTCAAAAGAAAAATTTAGTTGAATATGATTCATCTGAAAAAAACCAATTCATTTTTTACAAAAAACAAAAAAAACAACAAGTAGATTTATTAGAAAAAAAAAAAAAAATAAAAAAACAATATGGATATGATCTTTTCTCCTATCAATATATAAATTATGCAGATAACAAAAAATCCTATATTTATGGATATAAATCACCATTGCAAGCAAACAAAAACCAAACGATTAATTACAACATACCTAAAAATAAAAAAGAATTATTTGATATAATGGGCGATAGCTTTATCCAAAATTATATAGCAGAAGATGGTATTATAGATATGGATATGGAAACAATGGAAAAAAATCTGAATAGAAAGTATCTAAATTGGATGGGAAAAAGAAAAAAGAATTCCAAAACGAATCAGAAATTATTGACTCCGAGATTTGGGTTCTTTTCAAAATTAAGTGCATATAAGAAGAATCCTTGGATCTTACCAATGAATTTCTTTTTTGTGCAGTTTTATGGAAACAAAAACATTACTGATGTAGCCAAGTTAAAGTTAGAAAAGAAAGAATACGGGAAGCAAGCAGATCTCAAATCATATCTCTCAAACTATTATAGGGACACTCGGTATAGTATAACTAGATACAGGAAGGATCTAAATGGCGAACAAAATTTCTTACTAGATAAATATTTTGGTTTTTATTTGCACTGTAAGACTCCCGTCCAAGAAACACTAATGGATAATATCAACTTATATTGTCTCCTGGTTAGATTGAAAAATCTAAAACAATTTTTCATAATGTCTATAAAAAAGGCAGACCTCGATTTTGAAATTACGGCGCGTCTGCAGATGAAGGACACTTGTTATACAGAATGTAGGGACACAGAGGAATTGAGGGACAACCTAATGTTTTTTATTGAACCTATTCGTATTTCTAGAAAAAACTATGAACAATTTTTTATATATCAAACCATAAGCATATCATTGAGGCACAAACGTAAAATTTTGAAAAGAAACTATGATTTACTTGTTCCTGAAAATCTTTTGTCCACTAGACGCCGTAGAGAATTGAGAATTCTAATTTGTTTGAACCCACAGAATAGAAATACTGTGCATAGAAACACAATAAATGACACTGAGAAAAAACGAAATAATTCTTCTGAAGTTTTGACTCAAAATGAAGATATTGATAGCGATACAAAAAAACTAATGACTTTAAAATTCTTTCTTTGGCCAAATTATCGATTCGAAGATTTAGCTTGTATGAACCGCTATTGGTTTGATACACATAATGGAAGCCGTTTCAGTATATTAAGAATACATATGTATCCTCGATTGAAAATCTAGATTTTTGTTCTATTTATCATTATCATAATATTTCAGATATCTATCTGATATCTGATATGTGAACATATATATATATATATAAATAAATATTTATTTATATATATATATATATGTTCACATATAATTGATAATTGCAATAAATAAAATAAACGCGCACACGCATTGTGGGATTGATACGACTTCAATGATGTCTCCATTAGATAGAAATAAATCAATAGAAAAATGAATAAATCAAAATTGTCTTTTTTTTTTTTATTTTTTAAATACAAGACAATAGAATTTTTTATTTTTTGAATACATAAATATAGTATTTATTCTCTATTTGAATTACATTCCTTAATAAGGAATTTGAAAAAAAAAAATTCAGAATTGTGAAAATTGTTAAATAAATTAAGGTAAAATTTGATATAAAAAATTCAAAATGAGTGTCATTACTATTACTGATCAATAAAAATATCTACCAAAAAGGAGGGGGAAAGAAAAGCTTTCATTTTATGATAAAAAATTCATTTATACCTGTTATTTCACAAAAAAAAAAAGAAGAAGAAAACCCGGGATCGGTTGAATTTCAAGTATTCAACTTCACTAATAAAATACAAAGACTTACTTCACATTTTAAATTACACCCAAAAGACGATTTATCTCAAGGAGGTTTACGTATAATTCTGGGAAAACGGAAACGACTATTGTCGTATTTGTCAAAGAAAAACAAAATACGTTATCAAAATTTAATAAATCGGTTGGGTATTCGGGATTCACAAATTAGGTAATTTAAAGAATCATTTTCAATTATTCGATTTATTAGATACTGAATTTTGATGAACTTTTTTTTTTGAACGATTCATGGAAGAATGAATCGAGGAAAAACCTATGAATATCCCAGCTACAAGAAAAGACCTCATGATAGTAAATATGGGGCCTCAACACCCATCGATGCATGGTGTTCTTCGACTTATTGTTACTCTGGATGGTGAAGATGTTATTGATTGTGAACCAATATTGGGTTATTTACACAGAGGTATGGAAAAAATAGCGGAAAACCGAACAATTATACAATATCTGCCTTATGTAACACGTTGGGATTATTTAGCGACTATGTTCACAGAAGCAATAACTGTAAACGGGCCGGAACAATTGGGAAATATTCAAGTACCTAAAAGAGCCAGCTATATACGAGTAATTATGTTGGAGTTAAGTCGTATAGCTTCTCATCTACTATGGTTGGGACCTTTTATGGCAGATATTGGTGCACAAACCCCTTTTTTCTATATTTTTAGAGAAAGAGAATTAATATATGATCTATTCGAAGCTGCGACAGGTATGAGAATGATGCATAATTTTTTTCGTATTGGGGGGGTAGCCGCTGATCTACCTTATGGTTGGATAGATAAATGTTTTGATTTCTGCAATTATTTTTTAACAAGGGTTATTGAATATCAAAAACTTATTACGCGAAATCCAATTTTTTTAGAACGGGTTGAAGGAGTAGGTTTTGTTGGTAGAGAGGAAGTTATAAATTGGGGGTTATCAGGACCGATGCTTCGGGCTTCCGGAATACAATGGGATCTACGTGAAGTTGATAATTATGAGTGTTACGAGGAATTGGATTGGGAAGTTCAATGGCAAAAAGAAGGAGATTCATTAGCTCGTTATTTAGTTCGAATTGGTGAAATGGTGGAATCCATAAAAATAATTCAACAGGCTTTGGAAGGAATTCCAGGGGGGCCTTATGAAAATTTTGAAATCCGCTGCTTTGATAGAGAAAAGGAGCCAGAATGGAATGATTTTGAATATCGATTCATTGGTAAAAAATCGTCTCCTACTTTTGAATTGCCGAAACAAGAACTTTATGTGAGAGTTGAGGCCCCCAAGGGAGAATTAGGAATTTTTCTAATAGGAGATCAGAATGGTTTTCCTTGGAGATGGAAAATTCGTCCACCTGGTTTTATCAATTTGCAAATTCTTCCTCAATTAGTTAAAAGAATGAAATTGGCTGATATTATGACAATACTAGGTAGCATAGATATCATTATGGGAGAAGTTGATCGTTGAAATGAGAATTGATACAACGGAAGTCCAAGATATAAACTCCTTTTCCGGATTGGAATCTTTCAAAGAGGTCTATGGAATTCTATGGATACTTGTACCAATTTTGATTCTTATCTTGGGAATCACAATAAGTGTACTAGCAATTGTATGGTTAGAAAGAGAAATATCAGCAGGGGTACAACAGCGTATTGGACCTGAATACGCTGGTCCTTTTGGAATTCTTCAAGCTCTAGCAGACGGAACAAAACTACTATTCAAAGAGAATCTTATTCCATCTAGGGGAGATATTCGTTTATTCAGTATTGGACCATCCATATCAATAATATCAATTCTAATAAGTTATTCAGTAATTCCCTTTGGCTATAACTTTGTTTTATCTGATTTCAAGATAGGTGTTTTTTTATGGATTGCTATTTCGAGTATTGCTCCCATTGGACTTCTTATGTCAGGATATGGCTCAAATAATAAATATTCCTTTTTGGGTGGTCTACGAGCTGCTGCTCAATCGATTAGTTATGAAATACCATTAACTCTATGTGTCTTATCAATATCTCTACGTGCGATTCGTTGAAACCAAAAAAGTTATTCGATGCTATTGCTATGCTCCTCTCTTTATAGTACTATATAGGAAAGGAGGCGAATCAATTGAATAGAAACCTTCATTATCTTTATTTTTCTCCGATTGAAGAACTAAATTAGATAGTTATATGAGTGAAATAAAACAGCTTATATTGAATAGAATTTCAGAATACTTTCTTACTTCTAGTTAATAGATAGTATGATGATTTTTAATGGCAGTAAAAATATTGAGTCTCATTTTCTATGTATAAGAATGAAATAAAATTATAAACAGAAGAGGCCATTTAACCCAAGATTGGATAATTTGTCATCCTGTTTTGAAGCGGGCTCTAAAGACCAACCTTATTGAGTTTTAGTTACCATTTTTATGAATTCTCATAGATATATTAAAATAAATAAGGGGGATTAATAAAAAAGAGTGGATGGTTAGAAACACCAAGATACACAAAGGATTAGTAACACAGATTTTGTAAATTATCCAAAAGACAATTTACGCAGAATATAAAAAGAATACTAATTGGGGCTTTAAGTTGGTAGAAAAAATAAAGCAGTACTCCCCACAACTCCGATCCAGAGTATGCTTCCATCCACTCATTAAATAAATGACTATCAGGAACGAAAAAATCCTTTAAAATTTTTTAAGTCCCTTTTTCATAGCACAAAAAAGAAGAATAGGAACGAAAAAAAAAACATAAGAAATCAAAAACGAAAGAGAAATCTATTTTTCGTTTTTGATTTCTTATATCCATATCCATATTCATGGAGATCAAATCATAATTAAGAAACGAATGTTTAATTCTTTTTCGTAATTCAAAATCATGAGGGCTATTGAGAATTATAAAAGAGTATTTTATTGAAGAATTCAGTTATTACTCAACAAATTTTTATTTTTGAGGGATGAGATCAATTCAGAAGTGCCTTACATTGGATCTTTTATTAAACTATATTTCTCTTTCTTATTTCGTTATTTCTAGAACAGACAGAATTGAATTGGTCTAATTCAGAACCGTTCGATCTATTTTCATCTTCTATATCTTAGGGATATAGCAAGAGAGAAATAATTGACCCGGTCCTTAGATTTACTTAAGGCTTTCCAGGAGCCGTATGAGGTGAAAATTTCATGTACGGTTCTGTAATAGAGATGGGAACAGTAATGTTATCACCGACTAGGATTATCTAACAGTTTAAGTACAGTTGATATAGTTGATGCGCAAGCAAAATATGGTTTTTGGGGTTGGAATTTGTGGCGTCAACCTATGGGTTTCATCGTTTTTCTAATTTCTTCGCTAGCAGAATGTGAAAGATTACCTTTTGATTTACCAGAAGCAGAAGAAGAATTAGTAGCTGGTTATCAAACAGAATACTCAGGTATTAGATTTGGTTTATTTTACGTTGCTTCCTATTTAAACCTTTTAATTTCTTCATTATTTGTAACAGTTCTTTACTTGGGCGGTTCAAATATCTCTATTCCGTACATATTTGTTTCTGAATTTTTTGAAATAAATAAAACATACGGAGTTTTTGGAACTACAATTGATCTCTTTATTACATTAGCTAAAAGCTATTTTTTCTTATTTGTTTCTATCATAACAAGATGGTCTTTGCCTAGGCTAAGAATGGATCAATTATTAAATCTTGGATGGAAATTTCTTTTACCTATTTCTCTCGGTAATCTATTATTAACAACTTCGTCTCAATTGTTTTCGCTGTAAAAGATGGATCTTCTATATTCATTACTTGTCTCAAATAAGAGAAAGAAATAAAACAAAACTATTCATAGATATTTACGATATGTTCCTTATGGTAACTGGGTTCATGAATTATGGTCAACAAACAGTCCGAGCTGCAAGGTACATTGGTCAAAGTTTCATGATTATCTTATCTCACGCAAATCGTTTACCTGTAACTATTCAATATCCTTATGAAAAATTAATCACATCAGAACGTTTCCGCGGTCGAATCCATTTTGAATTTGATAAATGCATTGCTTGTGAAGTATGTGTTCGTGTATGTCCTATAGATTTACCCGTTGTTGATTGGAAAATGGAAACGGATATTAGAAAGAAACGATTGCTAAATTACAGTATTGATTTCGGAATCTGTATTTTTTGTGGTAACTGTATTGAGTATTGTCCAACAAATTGTTTATCAATGACTGAAGAATATGAACTTTCAACTTATGATCGTCATGAATTGAATTATAATCAAATTGCTTTGGGCCGTTTACCAATGTCAATAATTGATGATTATACAATTCGAACAATTCAAATCAAATAAAAAAAGACAATTTTTTATAATTTAATAAAATACAATTCTAAAAAAAAAAAGAATATTCTATATATATATAGATTTCTATATATATATAGAATATA